CCAGCGTCCCGGAAATCATTCCTCGCCATTCGGAGCACGGAGAGCTTGGGCAGACTGGGCAGCAGGGACGCAAGCACCGGCAGAGCTCCCGACGAGAGGCAGTCGTCGTCCAGGTACAGCCTCACTAGGCGTCGGCACTGACTTAGCTCACCACGAATGGTTGACAGGAAATCTCCAGTTAGCTCATTGCGCCGGAGTAAGAGGTACTTCAAACTCTTGTGTTGCTGTTGAATGATCCAACTGACGATCGTAGCGGAGTTCTGCTTCATCCCAACGTTGTACAGCTGCAGCCCTGTCAGCCTTAGTGCTCCTAACGATGGTGCTAGCTTGGTTAGACCTTCCATATCCAGTAGGTCTACGTAGGAACCGAGAGTGACGAACTGCAGATCTGGGCAGCTGCTGCAGACTGTGGTGATGACGTCAAGGTTGACTGCTGGATCGGTGCACTTTTGACCTCCAACAAGTCCAAGCTCCACAGCCAGCAGTCGCGTACAGTGGTGTGTGTTGCTGTGGACGGTGGCCATAGCATTGCTGCTGCAGAAGAGGTTTGCGGCTGTGTAGAGTACTTGCAGTGTTGATGTGTTGGATGCGATACACGCTGCGATATGGGCCGTGTGACGATCTGTGAGGTTGTTCACTCGCAGGTCGATGTACGTAAGATTGCATAGTAGAGCCATGCCATCAGCCATGCATGCGTACCCGGTATCACCTATACCACAGTTCGGCAGGCTGAGGATGGTGATGAACTGGTGGAGGTGACGGATGACTGTGTTGACGGCCTGGCAGTCCGACGGTGTGAGAGGAACGCCGTTGAAATCTACTCCGTGCTTCGTGAAGATAGTTTGCATGCTTTTGATGTCTTCGATGCTGCTTTGCTTGGCGTTGACGTGCTCCGCGAAGACATGGCAGGCGTAGAGGATTCGTTGTCTTCGTTCCGCGTCACTGACGTTCTCCAGAGGTGCGGGTGGCTGAGCCGCTTCGTCGGATGGAGGAACTGGAGGTAGCTTGGACGTGGGAGTTACGGTGAAGCATCGAATGGCCGATCCTTGCGCCTGGTGAGCCATGGCATAGTGCAGCATCTGTGTACTGGCACTGGGGACGCGGTCTGTCCATATGGGTAGCATTGAACGAACGAAATCCTTGCAGGTGATTTTGGTGACGGCTGGGTCAATTTCGAGGCGGACCACTTCAGGAGCAGACAATGCCAGATCGATCCTGTCACCCAGCAATTCTTCTGCAAGATGCTCTGCTTCGTCCAGCGAGAGAAAGGAGGACACGTGGTCGGCCCATTCCATGATGTGGTCGTGTGTGGTGAAGAGAAAACACGTGACGTTGTGCCCGTCTGCTCCTGTGGAATGCTGGTCGGCATTCTGTGGCTGAGTAGACGATGTGGACTGCGGATTGAGAATGGCTTCGATCAACACATTGACCGACTCACTGTCCAGCTCAGTGGCCAGTAAGCGCCAAAACATGTTGAGGTTGCCTGTGAATGCTCCAAGGCGCTGCACAAGCCAGGCGACGTCAGCTGCAATGGGAGAGCGGCTAGCGATGTAGCGAGCAGCTAGAGCTTCCTGAAGTGCCAGATGGCTGAAACGCCACTGAGTCTTGGACCGTGGTGATGCCTTGTCGCAGGCGATGAGCACTCCAAGTGTGCGAGCTGCCAATGACAGTGAAAGCATTTTGAAGTCGGCATCAGTGAAGACGACTTTCCGGCGGATGAGCATATGAAAAGCGAAGCGGGAGAGATCAAGCAGATTTTCCTGGACGTCGTCGGGAACATCGTCCCAATCGGTGTATTGCTCACCATCGCTTGGTAGCTTTCCTTCGTGCTGATTCAGTAGATGGAGGATTAGGGAGTTGCAGATTGTACCCGACGTGTTTGGCAGACTGTGCTTGTGTCGGTAGAGGCTGCAGGTTGCTTGGGCAAAAAACGGAGTACGCATCATCGCGGCCAGTTGCGGGTTGGTGCGGAGCTCTGCTAGCAACTTGGGTGCATCTTTCGGAGACAGGACATTGCGAATGTAGTGCTCCAAACCCTGCTTCTCAAAGCCTAGCAGCTCCACACGACGATGGAAGACTATGTCCCGGTTTTGTGTCAGCTTCATGGCTTCTGTTGAATGGCGTGACGTGATGATCAGGTTGATCCCCGGCAATTCTTTGCCGCAGATGACGTTGTACATGAATGTGCTGCAATCAGCCAGCTTGATCTCGTCGAGGCCGTCGAGAATGATACAGACAGATTCGGGATTATTGCAAACAAAATCAATGACTTCAGCCTGCTCACCTTCTGTTGTGACGCCGTAATTCTGCAAATCTAGCAGCTCAGCGATGCTTGTGATAGTACGCACTTCTGCCAAGCGCAGCTCCAGTGCACGCAGGACAGCGATGTTTGGCCAAATCTGCCCTCTTGCCCATTCAGACGGACCCTTCTTGGTGAAGAGCATGGTTTTGCCTGCTCCAGCCGATGAGAGGGCAATGGCACGGAAAGTCTTCCCATGCATGCGTTGTCGCATGGCTTTCTTGACATTGAGAATCTCGGCAAGTTTCATTTTGTGCAGCTTCCTAGCTTCAGACGCAAATGAATGAGCCAGCCGCTCATTGCCCGCAGTTGTGCCAAGTTTCTCTGCGTCACGCATCCTGGCATTTAGCTCCTGCTTGGACACTACATGGAGATCAGCATAAAGCTCGTCCATTTGCAAGATTCGTTCCTTCTCTTCATTGGTCTCCTCTATGCAGAACTGCACATTGCTGTAGGCAGCACACAGACGGTCATGGTATTTCTTCACGGTAGCAGGTAACGGTTTTTTAGTAGTTTTGCCGTGACCTGAGCTGGCGGTTGGACTACTTGCCTGGGCCATACTGAAGCAGCTCAGCAGTAATGAAGACTGCTAATGTTGCTGGCAGGGTCAGAGACACAGCGCCCTCACACAAACACTAGCTACACTAGAACAGACAACAGTTACCAGCAGAGCAAGCTAGAGAGATCAGCTACATGTAGCTGTAGCCACACTGTATGATTAGTTTGTGTGTAGTGATTTGCTCTTGCACTTGTGCCGTGTATAGCATGTACTGTGCTGCACAAGTCATTCTTACCTACCCGGATTCTTCACTGTACAGACACTGGCAACAGCAGCAGCTAGTATTCGACTGTATGAGTACATGAGTCCAAGAAGCATTTTTCCCCTGCTACTGTAACTGCACTCTTCTACCACTGTGTACTGTAGTGCATTGTGTGTTTGCGTGTGCGTTTGTCAGTGTCCCATCTACTGTTTCTGAGCAGACAGTGTCTGACCTCACATAGACGTCACACTTGTCATTGTCAGAAGGTACCTGTCATGACTGACCAGCAGAATGTCAGAATGCACCTATCATGACAGACCAGCAGAATGTCAGAATGCAACTGTCATGACTGACCAGCAGAATGTCAGAATGCACCTGTCATGACAGACCAGCAGACATAAGACAACTAACGCAAACTCTGACTAAGCCCACACACTAAATGTTCGTTCATGAATAGCAGTACACAGTGTAGTGAAGTTTAGTGTAAAAAGCCTCTTGTACGGGAAAAATGAATTTCACATAATATCATCAAACAAACTCATGTATGAATTCAGTTAACTCCCTCGAAGTAAACATACGCCTGCCCACACACGCTCTCTAGGCTGCAAAGACATCCAAGAAGAAGAAGATTGCCTGATGAGTCCAGCGGGGACGAAACGTACGTCGCAATCGAGCTATGTCGTTGCTGTGTCATCATCTATGTGCCATGCGCTACTTGATGTACCAGCCTGCTATGCCGGATACCGCCAGCCATGCATCGACCAGGCGCCAGGCGCGAACTGATGGTGGTGGTGGTGAGAAGGAGAGCTCTGTGCCAGAACTTTGCAGCCTAGAGAGCGTGTGTGGGCAGGCGTGTGTTTACCGCCATATTGCCAGGTGTGTCTTTACCACCATATTTATCAACCATAAGTACAGCTGCAGTGGTGTCTTCAATTTCATTCTCCCGAGTCAAGCTCCGTATGAAGACATCCAAGAAGAAGAAGATTGCCTGATGAGTCCAGCGGGGACGAAACGTACGTCGCAATCGAGCTATGTCGTTGCTGTGTCATCATCTATGTGCCATGCGCTACTTGATGTACCAGCCTGCTATGCCGGATACCGCCAGCCATGCATCGACCAGGCGCCAGGCGCGAACTGATGGTGGTGGTGGTGAGAAGGAGAGCTCTGTGCCAGAACTTTGCAGCCTAGAGAGCGTGTGTGGGCAGGCGTGTGTTTACCGCCATATTGCCAGGTGTGTCTTTACCACCATATTTATCAACCATAAGTACAGCTGCAGTGGTGTCTTCAATTTCATTCTCCCTCGAAGTATAAAAATCAATTGGAACACAAAATAAAAAGGGAAAAAAACATTAGGTAAAAGCGCGAAAAAAACATCACTGTACTCGCAAAGAACGGGAGCTATCACAACCAGCAATGCTAGGATCAGTGTCTATTAATGTTTAAAAAATGACGTTCGCGTACCGGGCAGGTCAAGAACAAGGAGTCGTTCAACTCCCTGGTCAAGAACCACCTTTCCGCTTCCGTGGGACACCATCGCCCCATGATCAGGCGTCAGATGCGGCTCCTAAATGGTGGGGAGGATTGATCTTTACTAAGACAGTAAGCAGTGCTTTGTTGTTGTTGTGTTTATTTTAATTCGCAAACCAAACGGGCATATCTGCCCAATGAAAAGGTGGCGAATGCAGATATAAAGCAGTAATTATTGAAATTGGGGAGGGATGTAATGAGGATAGAGGTGGAGAGAAACTAAGCCAGCTGATCATCAAACAGGACGTTTGGTACTCTAGATACTAAGGGTGTGCGGGATCATGCTGGCGCGGAACTGGCGGAGCGTGGAGATGGCACGTGTATCGCTGGGTAAGGTGTTCCACAGCTGGGCGCCCCGGAACGCGAGGCAACCCTTGCCGAACCCGGTACAAACTGGCGGTTGGCGCAGACCCATGGTGGAGTGCAACCGTGTTAAAAGTAGAGTGCAAGTGACAGCAGTAGTACTAGTATCAGGGTCTATGCAGAGTGCCAGTGGCAGCAGTATTAGCAACACTCCTGCACTTATACTTCAAAAATTAGGAAGTATGATCGGGTAGCTTGAAAGAAGGACACATATACAATACTACATATACGACCGACCTTCATGTGATATTTGTGTTATTTTAATAAAGAGCAAATGGCCACAAATACATAGAATAGAGGAGACCAACCAGAACAACATTCTCATTCTCATATTCCTTCTCTCTCTGTCTCTGTCTCTCTCTCTTTTTGCTCTCTCTCTCTGTCTCTCTCTCTCTGTCTCTCTCTCTCTCTCTCTCTCTCTCTCTCTCTCTCTCTCTCTCTCTCTCTCTCTCTCCCTCTCTCTGTCTCTCTCTCTGTCTCTCCCTGTCTCTCTCTGTCTCTCTTTCTCTCTCTCTCTCTGTCTCTCTCTCTGTCTCTCTCTCTCTCCCTCCCTCTCTCTCTCTCTCTCTCTCTCTCTCTCTCTCTCTCTCTCTCTCTCTCTCTCTCTCTCTCTCTCTCTCTCTCTCTCTCTCTTCTCTCTCTCTCGCTCTCTCTCTCTCTCTCTCTCTCTCTCTCTCTCTCTCTCTCTCTCTCTCTCTCTCTCTCTCTCTCTCTCTCTCTGTCTCTATCTCACTCACTCTCTCTCTCTCTGTCTCTCTCTCTCTCTCTCTCTCTCTCTCTCTCTCTCTGTCTCTCTGTCTCTCTCTCTTTCTCTCTGTCTCTGTCTCTCTGTGTGTGTGTCTCTCTCTCTCTCTCTTTCTCTCTCTCTCTCTCTCTCTCTCTCTCTCTCTCTCTCTCTCTCTCTCTCTCTCTCTCTCTCTCTCTCTCTCTCTCTCTCTCTCTCTCTCTCTCTCTCTCTCTCTCTCTCTCTCTCTCTCTCTCTCTCTCTCTCTCTCTCTCTCTCTCTCTCTCTCTCTCAAAGAGCAGGCTTTCATTTAATCTTTTCTTATTATTTCTGCTTTTCATCTCATTACAAAAATTCTGCGCATTTTGTCTCCATCTGCGCATAAAATCTAGACTGAAAACCTGCTTGTTAATTAATGCACCTGCTTTCAGGCGTAAAAACCCTGTTGTAGAGGTCTCAGTCCTCATTTGTTAGACTGACCTGTCTTGATAAATGTAACTTACTCTCTCTCTCTCCTCTCTCTCTCTCTCTATCTCTCTCTCTCTCTATCTTTCTCTCTCTCTCTCTCTCTCTCTCTCTCTCTCTCTCTCTCTCTCTCTCTCTATCTATCTATCTCTCTCTGTCTGTCTGTGTGTGTGTGTGTATGTGTGTGTGTGTGTGTGTGTCAGTGTCTATTGTTGCACGGCGCTTACGCCTTGAAACGACAGCCAAGTCAGTGTGTTGTGCGATCTGTGAGCGACTCTTCGCCAGTGAAAGCGGACTTCGGCGGCACAAATGCAGGGAAGAGCGACTGAAGCCGATCCATGAACAGGCCGGTGCTGTGTTGTGCGAAACGTGCCATCGTTGGTTTGCTAGCCGAGGTGGATTTGCTGTGCACAGCTGCTCTCCCAGTCTTGGTGACGCTCCAGTTCCAGAGATTGTTGCACCTCGCCCACCTGATTGCAGCCAATGTCATTACCACTGCCACACCTGTGACCGCTGTTTCCGGAGCAAAGCTGGGCACCGCCGGCACAACTGCAACTGCAACCGCAGAACATGCAGCTCTGGCTCCGAGCGCCGCACCATCCCATGCCCGACCTGCTCTCGGAAGTTCACACGTCTCCAGTACCTGGCTCAACACAAATGCAAGAAGTAACTCTGCCCTCCTTGCCTCTTGGAGGCACTGCATCACCATTTAGGTGGCAGTTTCAAGGTTTCAAGGTTTCAAGGTGTGGTGTGTGTGTGTGTGTGTGTGTGTGCGTGTGTGTGTGTCACTTCAAACAGCTGTGTGGTGGATACCAGGCTAAAAATAGTGGCGGTCAATTCATCAGCCTTGCAAGCTGTTGAATGGTGTAATCCCAGCACAAGTTGCTATGTC